GATGGCTATATGCCCATCTCCAGGCAAAAGAGCAACTCTCAGGTATACGATAGCAAAAGCGAGGATAGTTTCCATTTTCTCCCCATGTATATTGCCCTGGAAGAATCTCAGACTTTGCATACATGGTAGAATTTCTTTATTGAATCAGTACTTCAGCTGAAGCTGTTTACAAATGATGCCTGTCAGACTTGGGCTGTCATGGAGAAAATGCGTGGTGAGGCATATTGTGCTTGCTAGAACTTGACCGTGATGGTAAGGTAGAGAAGGTACAAATCGAGGTTAGGAAAGAGAATGTGTACAGCAACGTGGAAGAGGAAAATTACTTAGCTTTATATAAGAATATTTTATGGAATGAATATTCAGTTTCTTGTTATTTATAGTATATTTAACATTTTATTTCTGCAGGGGGTTATTTTTCTTTTGATAATTAGAATCATAATTTTTCCCATTGTGGGCTGAGAAGAGAATTTACATGTAATCTCCTTGAGAGTAAAACACTGTGTCATATTCATTGTTACAGCTGCAGAAACCTTGCCACAATACCTAGGTTATATTAGGTTTGTTCAATTCAACCGAATTCCTGAATATCATCAAATTCAGATTAGAAACATAAGGATTTTTAAAAAATAATTTTCAAGTTCTCAAACTTCTTACAATACTGTTTGCTAGGTTTTAGCAAGCCACATAACCAGAAATAGTAGCTTAGGGTCTAAAATTTGTTGCAATGTGAACATCGCTTGCTCTACCCAAAATGTATATAAAGTGAATGTCTTAATTATGGACATCTGAGTAATACCATATATAGTTAATTTGCACAGGGCAATTTTGCATTAAATAAAAATATATCATAAATGGTTTCACACAGCGAAGTTATCACAATTACCTGGATATTAAAAATCGGTCTTTATACTAATAGTGGATGTAAAATTGATTTGTTACTATACATATCTGACAATCATTTATTGAATAATTCTTTTAAAACTATATAATTCTATAAATTCTATAAGACCCGATGCTTCCTTTAACCTCATGAAATGAAAATGTACCCATGGTATCTTTGCTGTATACCTTAGAGACATTTCATTTCTATAGACATTATCATACAACTTCCCATAAGATTTTATTAAAATTTAATTGTGGATTCTCCCAGACCCATAGCAGGATAATACATTTGTAATTATTTTAATAGTTAAAATATAGTTTTCACTTTACTGGACTAATTTTTTGTTTTTAGGAATCTATCAAAAATCTAATCAATCCAGAAATATTTTTAAAAGAGAATAATGGAAAATATTCATAGCTTTGTCTTCATAATATGACTAAAAGACTGAAAGAAAAGCAGGGGTTAAAAATTATCCTTTAACCACCCACACACCCCTGAATTTTGAGAAGAGGTTTCTTTAATACTTTTTTCTTACTGCAGTATTTGTTGCTTAAGGAAGTCTGTGGGTGGATAAGATGTTATTATCCCTCCTACACACACCCGTTTTCTTATTTACAACATTAAATCTCCATATATATAAGTACTTGAAACACCAACCCTTTTCTTTCAACTAAGTTCTGAAATTCTTTGGAATCTGGTCCACACATTACCACACATTACCTTCCTATAGGACACATTCATAGTAAATTATAGGTTATCCTGATTTTTTTCAAGGGTGAGTCTATCCAAAAAGGGTGTCTGAAGTGGATGCCTTTCCAATTTTTTTTTCTGAAAACAGAATTCCAACTTCTTGTCAGAAAACAGCAAGTCTTATGCTCAAAACTAACAATACAAAATTATTTTTTGTATTAATGAGTTTCCTTAAATACTAAGAAGATACAGTCATTAACATGGGAAAAGTCCACCTTTAAGATTTGTATGCAGTATTTCTTATTACACTACAGATTACCTTTGTAAGTGAATACCCATTTGTAGTTCATGCTGGAAACATAATAAACATGTTTTACCTAAATATAGTTAGCTCCTTGAATTGTTTCATCTGAATAAACAGATCGATAGTTAAAAATTTTTAAACTCCCTATAAAATATGTATAATGTTATGAAACCTTTATATCCCTTTCTAATTGTAGTAAAAATGTTCCCTCAAATACAGTAAATGACAGATATGCCCTTGTGCAAATGGGTTAAACTTAAATTATTTTAAAGTGATCAGGTCTAATCTTCATTGCTAATATAAAATTCATTCATTTAAAAAATACAAGACAATTTTTAAAAAGCAAAAAATTTATGTATTTTGAAGTGATTTTGGATTTGGAGATTTAATGATATCATTTATAATAACCACACATACAATGTGTTTTGCAAATAAAATTTTTAACTTCACTATTCAGATCAATTCTTTCCAGTTGGGAATTATATTAACTTTTGTTAAAAGAAATTAGAAAAATAATCATTAACCACCCAAAGTGCTTGAAAAGATGCCCCAATTATTAACTAAATACACATTACTGAGAATATATCCTACAGAGGCCAGTTAGAACAATCACTAGCTAGGACTGATGTATTAACCAAACAATCACAGGTAATTTAATCACTTCTGGTTAATTCAAAGGAAACTGTTTCTGGCTCTTCTGATACCTTGATAATAGGAACTGTCAGAATACAGAGGCAAGTCCATCTTCTATGTAGCAGAGGTAGTGAGTCAAATATATTTTATGAACAATCCAATGCATATGTGAATTGGAATTCTGCAGGTTACTCTAAACTAGGTTTTTAGGTTATAGTTATCCAGCTTTTTTGGCACCTTGTAATAGAGTAAAAAATTAAAGAAAATTAAAATCATTGCTATTTCAGAGCAAAGTAAGACAAAGACTAGAAAAAAGTAATTTAGTTAAAAAAAACTTGTTTGGTCTCTAATTTAAAAAAATAGTTTATGCAGTAGGAGTAAATACTCATTATCACAACTTTCAGAACAACAACTATTTAAAAAGAGTACAACTCAGAATTAAATAGGTTATATGGTCTTTTCTTTTTCTAAAGCAATTATCTTTAAGAAGTTGCTTTGTTTTTTTTTTTCCCTCGAAGTTACTATAAAGTACCTATAATTGAAAGGAAGAGTAAAAAGCAAACAGGAGAAGAAAATAAGAAAAGGAAAGTAGTTTCCAACTTAAGGACAAAGTTCAAGTTATAAACATCATATCCTTGACATCAAAATTATTTCCTAAAAAATTACCTTATTTAGATCACTGGATAACATAATGAACCCCAAATTTCAATATGGAATGCAACAAGGAAGAGTGAAGTTGATTTCATTTTCACTTCATGAGCTAATCACAATGAACGAAAGCTGGACACCAGGGTCTGAGACATAAACTATGTCTTCTTAAAAAATAAATTAAAATGAAGAAATGATATGTGATATGATAAGGGACTCAAATAGAAAAACATATCATGACATTTTAATAGAAAGAGCAATGAAGATTTTTTGTGTTCTGTGGTCTAACTTGTTTTGTTTTTGAAGATGCTAAAAAATTAACAAGACTTGTTGCATGAAAAGCGGCACAGTTGAAACTCAACACAGTATCTGCAAAATCAGGTAATCTATATATAAAGACTAAATATATCTGGGAAATAAACAGGATTTTGCATAGGAACAACTCCCTTCCAAAAGCAACACTTTTAAAATTGATTAATTCCTTAATATTCCAATGGTGAAATATCTACTTAAGCAACTATCTTTTTCCTCTCTTTTTCTCTTTAAGATTTAATTTGTTCTTTTAAGCTCTTCTTTTCAAACAGCTAGAGAAGCTTTCTTAGGAATACTATATTAATCAGCCAGAGGGGTTGGCAGGAAAACAATTTCTTAGAAGTAGTGAAAGACTGTCCTAACATCAAATGACTGTCCAATGTCATGTAGCACTGAAATAAATTTTATGCTCTCATGGTACTAAATCTTGACTCCTGTTCAGTTTTAGTCTTTATGGGAAAAAATTATGCTTCAATATTTTTCTGTAATTGTGTTCTCTAGGTATTGTTTATTTAAACTAGTTAAGCCTTGATAAAGCACCTTGATAAGTCTTTGAAATATTGCCCAAACTAGGTAAGGTGTGATAAGTCAGATCTTTCCTGAACCCAAAACCTTTTATTTATCTTTTATCAAATTCTGCATTTAAAAACTAAAATTTACTTTGAATCATACATTTGATCAGTTTATACAACTTAAGCAAGCCCCTAAGAATGTATGTTTTTGTTCATTCTCTTTTTATTTCTTGTTGAAATTTTATATAATTTTTTTCTTGCTGTGTATAAGGGTGGAATTTTGTTTGGATTTCATTTGAAAAAGCATTTTAAGAAATTTACAATGAAGATTCAATTCATAAAGTCTTATTTGGCAGGCAGTACATCAGATCAAATTTTAAAAGTTTCTGCCTCTCTTTTATCTTATATACTTCCTTGAACACATAATTTAATAATGAAAACATGTCTTACTTAGTAAAAATTAATTTAGCCAAAGAAGTAAAGATACTGTATTATTTTCATTAGCTTAAATTCTGTTTATCATTTTTACTTTCTTTTATGAAAAGAAAGTTTTCAGTTTCAAATTATTGATTTGATAATTAAGACCTGTTCACATGGTAGTTATGTATGTGTTAATATCAATACTTGGCAATTTAGGGCAATACTACATATATTAAAATCTCAATATTTAAGTGATTTCTTCATGAATTCTTTCTGCCCTGCCAAATGATCTTGGAAGCTTCTGTTAGGAAGTTTTGACATGCAAATCTACCTCAAAGATAAGTTGGGCACAAACAAATAAAGGAACAAGAAAGATTAGATGAGGTAAAGTTCTTAAGTAAGATTCATAAATATATTAAATAATTTGCATGGTATATACATTTGCTTAATAAGTAGAATGATACTTTTTCATTTGCCTCTTTCCTAAAATGCAAAATGTGGATTTGTCTCAGATATCTGTAATGGTAAATACATAAGCAAATATCCATAAATGATATCCACATGTAAGTCTTCAAATATATAAAAAGACAAATCTTACCTCCATCTCCAGATCCTGATCCTGCATCTGGTGGGGGGAAGAGAAATAATTTGGTTTTGTATGAAAAACATATTCAAAAACTATTTATGACTTTATTTAGTTCATGTTTACTTCCTTTATTAAGACAGTAATATAATGGAGAAAATTACTAATATTTAATCTGAAAGTGTATATTCACATCAGTTTAATTTAATTTGTGTAATATAACTTATCAAATAAATTTTCTATTATTTTCATTCTTAAACTTTGTAAAAAATTATTATCTAGCTTTGATAGTATAGCCTATTTTAATTATCACATTCTAAAATTGACTGTGTAAAATCTGTCATATTTTTATTTTAACCAGGATGAATTTGGTGCCATTAACAAAAAAAAAAGAAAGAAAATGAAATGCTTATAACAGTGAGATTCAGAAATTAAACAGGCTAAGACATGTGGCAAATAAACTCATAATTAAGGCTTATATTATTGTAAATCGCATATACACAAAAAGAAAAACAGTTTATAGATAATTATCTTTTTATGTAATTGCTAATATGTTTTCCAAATACCACAATTGTGGATGAGTTTATCTGCCACCAACAACATCCTTTGTTTTTTTAAATTAATTAATTAATTTTTTATTATGTTAATCACCATACATTACATCATTAGTTTTTGATGTAGTGTTCCATGATTCATTGTTTGCATATAACACCCAGTGCTCCATTCAGTACATGCCCTCTTGAATACCCATCACCAGGCTAACCCCTCCCCTCACGCCCCGCTCCTCTAGAACCTTCAGTTTGTTTCTCAGAGTCCATAGTCTCTCATGGTTCGTCTCCCCCACCGATTTCCCTCCCTTCATTTCTCCCTTCCTACTATCTTCTTTTTTTTTTTAACATATAATGTATTATTTGTTTCAGAAGTACAGATCTGTGATTCAACAGTCTTGCACAATTCACAGCGCTCACCATAGCACATACCCTCCCCAGTGTCCATCATCCAGTCACCCCATCCCTCCCACTCCCCACCACTCCAGCAACCCTCAGTTTGTTTCCTGAGATTAAGAATTCCTCATATCAGTGAAGTCATATGATACATGTCTTTCTCTGATTGACTTATTTCGCTCAGCATAATACCCTCCAGTTCTTTGTTTTTTTGAAATCAATAGGAGAGAGATTAACTTTTGTCTTTGTGTTTAAAAATTGGATGCATCCTAAATGATGCTGGCAGAAAAAAAGGATACCCTCCTTCTGCATTTCTCTTTTTTTCTTCTCTCCCCTCCTTCCTACAGAATTGCAGTTGGTCAAAGTTGTCTATTTCTGACAACTGAGTTCCCAGAGATACCCAGTTTTCTCATTGGGAGTCAAGACCATTGAGTTTCCTTCCGGTTCTACCTCTGAAGTGTAAACATCATCTGCCTTCTGCTTCCCTACTTCTTTTCATTCTAAATATATTTGGTTATGTATTTTTAATGTTAATACTGGGGAATAAGACTAATATTGGTATTTTCTGTCTGAAATGCCTCATCTCACACTGAAATCTCAACCAGGATTCAAGAACTATGCGGAATGCCACTTCTATGAATTTGTGTTTGATGCTTTAGTACAATTTAAGAAATAAAACAAAGCAAGAACCCAAGCCTCCATTATTTCTACTTGTTTGCCTCCACAACAGTTTATGAGAGGCACGGTATAAAAAATGATATGGTATATGAAAATCCACAGAAGGTTGACATATGGAAGAATAGATGCCTCCTTCAACAGTCATGCTTGTCATCGTGTTAGGCATTAGCAGTGTCATGAAGGAGCAGTAGTTTAAATAATGAGCCTTGGTGGAGACTCCTATTAACTAAATTCACAGGGTCTAACACTGTATTAAATCAGAAAGCCAAGTTATTTATTAACTGCTAATGTGACTAAAACATATGTCTTTAAGCCAGCAGATTCTTTCCTTAAAGCAAGCTAATTGGTAAGACAACTTATAATAAAAACCCTTCTTAGTAAATATATAATCAAATAAGGATTTTGATCATATGCCTTGACTATTTAATGATAACAGATCAAGAAAGGCTAAAGCATTTGTCACCATAATAGAATAGTCCTGTCAACTGAACTGCTAATCATAACACATGGCACCATCACTTCTGGATGGGACAAGGCTTGAATGGTCAATGTTTGTACACTTTCACAGTAAAATTTTAACTAAATTTCTTTCAACTAATTTGAAAGTTTAATTCAGTATTACTTATAATCATCAGAGGCTAACAGGTTATACTATTATAGCACTAATATATTTTACGTGTTTTGGTTGAATGTGTAGAGTTTCTCTTTTCTTCCTCATTACAACTGTAAACTTCTTTAAATCAAGAACCATGTCTTGTTCAGCTTTTTATACTTATATGCACATAAGAGGAAATACATAAAAGCTTATAGATTCAAACCTCCAAACATTACTCATTTGGTAACATAAGGGATGTTATCTAATCTTCCTAAGCTTATTTGTCCTCTACTCAATGAGTATAATAATGTCTATCTCACTGATAGATTTTGAGACTTACTGCACAATAGCAAATTTTAAATGATTATCACAGTGTCTGGAACATAAAAATTAAGATTTTGAATAAATATCTTGCCTATTCATCTACAGGTTTTCTAATAAATATATAGGGTTTGGAAAAAGCAAAAAAAGAAATGGCAGTAGTATATTGGCTTGTATTTCTCATGTATCTTTCTAAAAAGTCAAGGGGCATGGTTCTTAAAACAACTTTTGTTTGATTTGACCCAAATCAGGTAAGTAGGAAACAAAGAAGGAATAGGTGGAAAAAATAATCACAAGTCCACCGAATCATTATGAAATAATTATGGGAAGCTTTAATGGTTTCTCTAGTATAAGGTAAATAAGTAGCCTACTGAGGTCTTACTGGTGAGACAGAAACACCTAAGAAGTCATGCTCTTGATCCTGAAAGTCTGAACTCCTAGTCAATACATTTCTTATAACACAAAAAAGCGAAATTGACAGCAAAGCTATTGAGGAAACCGTCCAATAAGAAACCATTTTTGGACAAAAAAAAAAAAAAAGATTTGTAAGTTCAATGAAGTATAAAAAAGTTATATCTTCTACTGCCTTTTAATCCTAGAGATCACAATTTGCCATCTCTATTCAGTGTCAAATAGCATTAAAAAATAAATGGAAAATCTGCAAAGAAAAGAATGAGAATTTATTTAAGATCAAAAGTCAGAACTCTAATTTATTTACAGTCAGACCTGGTTAATCAAAATTACTTTGGTTCCTCCATCATTTTTCAGATCAAAAATCTTTTAGATTTACAAGTCAATGGGAGACTTCAGCAAGACTGGCTTACTAATTAAATCCTACAGAATTCTAAGTATGTGAATCAGCTAGGTATGGATTACTCAATTGTGATTAAATGTTCTACTTGGCTAAGTATTTATTTTCATAGTATAAACAACACATTAGGATCTAGCATGTAAAAACTTGAATGAATCAGGAGAATGTGATTGCCTGAGCCTACAAGAATTTGGAGGTTGGCAAGTAAGAAAGAGAGATTTTGGTACCAAATATTGTTAGCCACACCATAACTTCCTGACTCTATTTTGACAACTGCCCACTGATTCTCATTTGGCTACTGTCAGAGACAGATTGGTATCCTATACGATCTTGAGTGGATAAACCCTTTCCTCAGTACTCACTGGTGTTGCCTCTATCATTCTTGGTTTCTAAGAGAGTTTCCATATTATTTTTTCCTATGTAATTTGTCTTAAAATTTCACTTTAAATTTTCTCCATGGATATGGCAGACTGATTTTTCATAATTAGTTTGCTCCTTGTTTTTCTTTCTGTTTTCCCCATCTTTACTATGAGAGTATAATGCTGGTCCTCCTCCCTCCCTACTGGAGAAGGAAGTCCAATGACTCTCACCTGCTGCAGTCATTTTCATTCATTACTTCTCAGACAGATGGAGTGGCAATGATCTGTTTGCTTTAGCAAGTAAGAAGCAAGTGGGGCACCAGAAAGGACATTCACTTCATGAGGCAAAGAATCATATAAAAGAAAAGACTACTTAAAAACCAAAATCAAAACAAAAAAGCCTACATCATCATCTGTGAGTAATAATATCATTCTCTTCTAATTCTTGGGAACTTTAGTAGTCAATGGTATAATTTGGAACACTATCAATTACTAACAATCAATAGACTTAAGATAATCTTTTAAGGAATACAAGCCTTTCTTCTTGCTCATTTACCATCCTGCCCCAACCTACATATGACTTAACATAGTTCCCTAGAATAGAAATACTTGTTATCAAAGAAATACTTGTTACCTTTCCAATAAAATAGATTTTTCTTCGCACTGTTCTATATTCTCACTTTTGAAGAAAGTTCATACTTTGTGTCATTATTATTTTTCCCTGATATGCTTATGCCATCCAATTCCTCAGAAATTATGACTTTCTAGAAAGATGCTTATGTGTCATTCAAGACAATTATCATGGATACTAAAGTTTCTTTAATATATGTGATTCTAATATGTCAAGCCTAACTTGTAAACTCAGCTTTATTTTAAGGCATTGCTCTATCAAGTTGGGCTTTGTTCCCTTTATTTTTCTCCCTGTAATGCCGTTCAGCTCTAACAATCACTGTACATGAAAGGAAAACCTGAAAAACTGAAGAGCATATGAGGTCACTCTTCCTCCTCACTTCCTTCAGAGCATTCTTGGTAAAGACAACTAAAAACCTTTGAGGAATCCCAGGCTGACTGTGTTAGAAAGGATAGATGTCCTTCACAAATACATTCTTCAATATAATCAGCTAAATGGTAAGAAGAACATTTTATAGCACTGCTGAGGTTACTCACATTTTCACTTTCAAACCCAGATCTGCAAACTACCCTCCAGCAGACGATGCTATTGTTCAAAACAAACAAACCAACTTTATGTGTGTATGGATAGGTTTCTCTATATTTGACACCTAGGCAGGAAACCTAGATTTCTAATTATATTATTCAACTGTCTGCACTTCATTAAATAACATATGTATTAAAATCAACATCCTTATGGCAGATTTTCTCTTTCTTCCAGAAGTGATTTGAAATGTAAAAAAGACAAAATAAGAATAATGTATGCTTTGTACAAAAGAATGAGAAGCTTATCCAGCCAGTATATAGTCTGAATTATTTATTTGGAGATAACATAACAGAAGAAGCAAGACATGGTTTCCAAAGGTTTCAGGGAGTCTTTAGGATCACACACATACCTGTGGCACATGATCCTTCAGACACTACAAGTATCTCGCTCTGCTGTTTGCAGGCAGCCTGCCGCAAGTAGCACTCATTCTGGTAGCTCTCCCCATTGGAGCCACACACAGGCACATAGTCACTGTTGCACTGTTTGTGGGGGGGGGGGAAGACAGAGATAGAAGCTTATGGTTAGTACTGGAGTCTGCATACCTTTGACACCTCGAACAGAAATAATCATTTACAAAAGAAAGCAGTTGTTTTCATTTTCAGCAATCTGCATTGTATCCATTAAAGTCTTTGACCTTGCAAGGGCATCATTCAAAGATACACAAAAGTAATGTCAAGTCAGCTAATCAGTCATTTGATTCAGATGGGGGAAAAAGAAAAAGCTTCTAAATTGATCAGGGTAATTCCAACAAAGTGATCTGCGCAACAATACTGAAAGGGTATAGCAACAAAATGTATCAACATTATTTAATACTGTTTTTCAGATATACATCCATCTGGCTTGGTGGAAAAAATCAAAACATGCTATAATATTCAAGTTATTAAAAATAGGTAATGCCTATCTGTGTTTAGAATAGAAGTATACAGCTGAAATGCCAATGAAATCAGTCACTCCTTAGTATGTCTTTTTTTCTGTTTAATTTTAATCTTTACAAACTTGTAAATATTTGGATAAGACATTTGGATTACTAATTAATTTGTCATATATCTTTAGATATTGGCAGATATAGTGCAAGAAAAAACAACAGAATATGGAATACAGGGGGAAAAATCAACAACTATTGACCTATATGTAAACTTTATTGATTATTGGAAAGTATGACTATTAATATATATTTCGTAAAGAGAAAAGTTCATTTTTAAAACAGCATCATTACATAAAAGTACACATTTTACAATAGAAATTAGGCAACCTACAAGGTATACTCATCATAATATAATCATCATACTCCAAGGCATTAGAGATACTTGGCTGTGTCCTATACCTGCTAATTACACTAGAGATATGATTATCTCATGATTACTACTACTGATGTGTTTCATTGTTTAATTGTAACAAATGTAATAACCAAGATGATTATTTAAAAATATCCACCTATGCCAGAAACTAAGTAAAGCAAGTCATACATACACATGCATGTGAAAACATTTTTCTGTTTTCCAGTTCTTATTAAAATATTTGGATTTTTGATGGCTGTAAATTTATAACGCATACAAAATAAATGAATGATCTAGTGAGATGGCTAGGAAAGTTTTAATATATATGATAATAAACCTAAAACCCTATCATAAGTTAAATTCAACTCAAAGATATATGCCCAAAAAAGAACAAATTTCCAATAAGGTTATAATCTTATAATAAAAACGAGAAATTTATTTTTTAACTCTATTTCCTTAGAATATCTGTACTTCCTCCTTTTCCATCAACCATTTAACTCTTGATCTTTGCCTTAATATAACAATGGCTTAATCATCCTAGTAATTTATACATGAAATGGGATAAGTCAATGTTCTCTGAAATGAAAGTCTTATTTTATGAGTCTTACTTTGTTATTGAAAAACAGAAATATAGCTTAGTAACAGTGATATACTTTTCTTGCAATGGTAAATCCAAATTGTACGACACTCATAATCTCTATAATTGTTCACAATGATTTAGATGTTAAATCATATCTATTTAGAAATTACTTACATGTGATTAAAATGATTTAAATATTTTAAATATGACATATTTTAGAAATCTTTATTTCTACAATTTCTAATCTAGATATTCTGGAAGCCCTCTATACAGTATTTTGTTTTCACAGTTACACAATTGGCTCCTAGACTCAGTCTATCTATGTGACTATATTTTAAAACTGTTTAGATTAGAACCTTTTACTAATGAGGATCTTTAACTCAACAGGCATTCATTTCTGATCAGGTGATACCTGTATAAAGGCTGCCTTCCACAAGATTTCTGAATAGATATGTATTTTTTAACTTACATGTGAGAATTGACCTACCATAGGACCCAAAATCATTATCACTACTGAAGAAAAAAGGCAATGGCAAAATGTCAGTGAGGAGTCGAATTCTCCAGTGAACAGTACAGAGGTAACACCAACTAAATGGGGCTGGTGCTCATGTCAGAACCATAGCCTGAGAGGCAGGTGGATGGACAGGTGCTTGATAAATGTGCTGTGTTCTGGACCAGGGAGGATTTATGAGGACCCACTAACACTAAAATGGTATCTGAGCTAATGGAGGAGAGATCAGAAAGAAATGAACAACTGGTAACATATCATAGTCATATTCAGTAGACTTGACACTTTCAGTAGGCAGAAGAGAGTCAAAATTAGTGTGATGGCTGGACTAGTTAGCTTCTCATGTTCGGGTCCTAGCATTGTTGTCTTTTCTACCTTTTAATCTCCATCTTCAAACCTGCTTATAACAGTTTGTAGATTATTTGGGTCCACATTTTCTTCTCTCCAATCCCTGGAACCTCTCTATTTATCTTTCTTATCTACTTCTGCAGAATACTCAGATGTAGTCAGTGGACGGGGGTGAGGGGTGGGAAGTATTTATTATCTCTGTCAAGTGCTAGTACACAATGCTGATATGCATCTTAAAATATGGAATAAACTGATAAAGCACTCATATGCCACTTCTGAGCGATGCAGTAAGCCAAATGTGAACAGTGCGAGAAACAGAGCTGCCAAGTTCCATGCACAAGCCAAAAGGGAGATTTGTATGGAGCTGAAAAGAGCTTAACTGTAGATTATCAGCACGATGTTTTTGGCCTTTAGTACCATGACTTGCACTCATTAATATGAATAATACGAGGAGGAAGCATACTCTAAATCATTATGGCTCAGGAATACGAGTCTGGTCCTAGTTTCACCAATTTCTCTCACTGCTCTGGTGTAAGGCCTTGTGTACATCACTCAACTATTAAATACTTAACAAGTCTATAGCTCAGTTTCCCCAACTGAAATGGTTAACAAGGGTATTTGGGAGGATTAAGAGAGTCATGTTTTTAAAATACTTTGGAATATTCATCTATAAAAAGAAATGCAAATTATTTGTCTCATGATAAGCATTTTTTAATTTGAATATAGTTGATGCACCATCTAACACTGACACTAAATGCACATATCTAAAATTAGAGAAGTAAAGGAAAACAGAATAACCCTGCTCATAAAAATAAGCTAAGTATTATGTTAAAATATGCCAAATTATTGGAAATAGTTTTTAGTGGTAATCATGATACTGCTCAGTTTCAGACAAAGGGACAGATTCAGATGTTAAGTGACTTGCTAAAGGCCACATAGTTGGCTGGTAAGAGAAAAAACAAGACTCAGGCCCAGATGCTTAGACCCATAAATGTATGTGTTGTACAAACTTCCTCTCAGGGGAAAAGTGATTGTATTTTCTTATGATGTTATAAAAATCTTAAGTTTATTTTCCAAATATGTGTTTTTCAGTGGAATGATTTTGCTCCAAAGTGTCCATATTGCTTAAGAAAGTAGCTACATATCACACTCATAGATTCAATGACTTGACACTGTAGAATATATGGAATTCATTTTACTACAAATGAACAAAAAATGTATGTGAGAAGTTTTTCCATATGATTTATTGCTTGTTTGGTTAATAAAGATCTCTTTCAGCTGAGATTTCAGCATCTAGAAGCCATGTATAACTTCTTTTTTATAGACTGTCGGCACCTTCCATAGAGTCTGGCATGTAGAAGGTACTCCACAGATGTTAAGTGAATTCTTGTTATATTCCCAGTTGTCAAAGGCTTAAGAATAATGGCTTAGGATATGGTATGTTTCTCTTCCAAAAAAGAAAAAGATAAAAAACCTGCACATGTCCCAATCTTTTGATCATTCCATAAGTAACTTTTTCTTTTCTGTAACCACATTTCTTTAAATGAAAGAAAATATGACTTTAAGAGTAGGCAAGCCTGTGGCTATGGTGAAAGTGACCCTGTGTGACTTCTCAGGCTAGGTCATTAAAGGATACAGCTTCTATATGGCCCTTTCTCTCTTTCTGGATGCCTGCCCTTGACACCCAGCCATTGTGGTACGAGGAAGCTCAAAGTAGCACATATGGAGAGATCCACATTAAGGACCAAGGTGTCCAGCTGACATATGAGTGGAGCCCTGAGAAGAGTACAAGCCTTTGAGTTCTCTCCCTCCCTCCGTTAATGCCAAGGGAAGGAGAGATGAGAGGTTTCCATTAAGCCCTGTCCAATTGTAAATTCATGAGCAAAAGAAATGTTCATTATTTTTGAGCCACTAAGTTCTGGGCAATTTATTATGCAGTCCTAGTAAGTGGAACAATTGTACATCTAAAGCATGCTTATTAAATGCAAATATTGAGTATTTGAAATAAATAATATCTAAAAAACAGAAGGCTTCATCATTTTTAAATTACAAACTGATATTTGGTCATTGTATGACCAATGCTATCTATGAATAACTACTTATGCACGCTCCTTCCTTCCTTCCTTCCTTCTTTCTTTCATCCATCCATCCATCCAGCCATCCATCTAATTGTCTCTAAATTTTTCTCTCCACAACTGATTTATCGGATTGACCAGAATGCTGTCTGATAGATAGGAACCAGGTTCTGCCATTTCTGGAAACTCATATCATCACCTAAGAATCAGTTGTACTACCTTTGATATTGAATTGTCTACAATAACTTGGTATTGTTGTTGCTGTTACTGATATTTTCATTTGCATGTGTAATGTTTTGGGAGAAAATTAGACTTGGTTTCAAAGGACCTAGGTTCTTACTTTAAGATCACCACTCAATGATTGTTATTTATATTTCTGGGCCTTAATTTTCTCATCTGTAAAAGGAGGAGAAAATTACCTCACGCGGTTGTAATAAATAAAGGAGAATATGTTTATTCTCAATCATCTAAGAGAAGTGAAGGCAAATATATGTTTATTTTAGTGCTCCAAGTTGGAAAACTATAGATCACATACACACACTTCTCTTTGAAATTTATCTCTCAGCTAGAATGACCATAGTTTGCATCCTAATTTGAATGAAAGAATTTGTGACTGTATCTGTAAAAACAGGAGAAAGAGAGAGTAGACGACCTCAGCTAGTTTAGAATAGTATGTAGGAAAATAGATTATCAGGACATCTTGCTTTTCATCAGAAACTGAGGGGGAAAAAAAAAAACCCTCAAATTCATTGGAATGTATTGGAAAGGACAGAATCGAGATAGTCTTAGCCTAAAATATCCTATTATTCTTTGCACAACTTGCACATTTTCTTTGATCTTCACCTTAATCCAGCCACTCTATATTCTTGCTATGTGTAGAGTTTAAATTTTTCATGAAGGAAATGTTTATTTTCTCTTGACAGACTGACAACTATCACAAAGCACAAGCTAATGGCAGTAGTAATCTCATAGCAAATTTAAATGCTACAGGTATTAGGAAAAAAATACATTTTAGTTCCTGATTCAAACTTGCATTCATTGCCCACTCCCTGATCTACTCCACTCAAAAAGTATTTAAATTAGTGACAAATGTAACTGGCTGGCCAAAGCATGAAAAACACAAATATTTTTCTTGATAAAGTTTTACCAAAATCCTTTGTGGAACCTGAAAATTGAACACAATTTCTTAAATAAGAAAACTATACATCCCTTTTAGTAGCATGCATCGATTTAGAATTTTGTGAACTCCATTATTTTTCTCTTGTTGAAATCTTGTTAGAATTATGGCTTTCCATTTGAAGAACATTCTTTTTGGTTCATTTTGTACTGTTTATGAATTCACTTCTTATGTCTACCCTTGGTTATGAAAGCAAGACAAATTTATGGGAATCACAAACTGGAAGGGGGGAAATCCACAAGATCCTTTAGGCCTTTAATTAATGATTTATCCCCCTGTATTTTCTCTTTAGTTAACATTTGGGGAAAGTATGAATTGGAGAGTTTTCATGCTCCATCTCTCCCATGTAGTTCATTGAAAGAACATAATTACATTGTTCAGTGTGGCTAGAGACCTTAGAGGTTGGTGTCACATACATATTAAGTAGGCACAAATATGTTTTTTAACACTATAGTATGGTCTGAAGAAGTGTAGCATGGTCACACCAATACTCACCCACCAGGAGGTGGTGCACTTTGCAAATATCAGTTGTTTTATTGCTTTTCTTAGAAAGAATAATGTCCAAGCAGCTTTGAGCTTATCTACAAACAATTCAAACTATATTTAAATATGAATTCCCTTATCTCTCTCACTGGGAGGTTGAATTCAATTTAAAATATTTGGTTTCATCAACAATTCTAAATACTACATACTATAACAATTGTTTAGACCTGAATTTGAGTTTATGTTTTCATTTGTTCTGTACCTTTTTTTTCTTTTTTTCTTTTTTTAGTTTTGCTTACAATCTTAGAAAAGTTTTCCTTGATCCCACTAATATAGTTGTTTATGCACATATTTCCTGGTTGAACCTTGTGTTAGATTTCATGTGTATTTGAAAAATCCAGCAACACTTAAAGGTGAATATAAGACATTAGTACAACACCTATGATAGTTGAAGGTATGTATGCTTGTATAAACATTTGAGAGAAAAGAAGGTTTATAATTTACACAGTATAAAGCATTTATTACATGATGACTATAATAATGACATGAAGAGTTCTATCTTCAAGAGATACTCATAACCTAGTTTTGATGATACCAGTGCTGCAATGTCCTTTCTTTAAAAAAAAAATATTCAATTTTTATTTATTTTTCAAACATGTGGCAAAGTACATTTTTCTAACATTTATGAAATAACTAGCGGCTATTTGCGCTCTCTTGGATTCCTGGGAGATTCAGCTGTAATTGAATGTGGTACCCATGAAAAGTTGATATATATATTACTAAGTTCCATGATTTCAAAAACTAGCACAGTAGTTTTGAAGTCCCGTTAATAAGGAGTTTATTTAAATACTTAACCCGCTTGCCCAGAGAGTAAAACCCAAAGCCATTAAAACAGAGCAATATGATCAAAAAGTGATAGCCCCAATAAAGAAGAACAAAAATTCGAATCCATACTTCCTATCCATTGATTATTTTGGCCATTAAGCCCAGCAGTTGATTTATAAAATGTATGCTAGATGGGACACATAAACATAATTTACCTCTGACACACCAAAGGAACAACCTGAAGCTTTCTACCTCCAGTGGCATTTATAAGTCTGGCATACACATTTCTCCAAAAAGCTATGTCTTTTTGACATCCGTTGTTCTCTTGGCAGTACAGCACTTTTGCGTGGTGCGAGCTTTCCTCTTAGCTTGCATAGCTATAAATTGCCAGGTGATGGGTTGTAAAGGGAGATCCCTCCTTTGTAGTCTCATTAATGAATAAGAAGATACAAAAATCAGACTTCTTACCTTGAACTGACAGACGCAAGTCACAGTGTCTCCAATTCTTAAACATTCCCCATCAAATTTACAGGTGTTGGTGTCACAGAGGAAAAGATCATTTTCTCTGTCATCATAACCTCAAATTTAAAGAGAATACTCCAGTCATTAAAAAATGTTATAGACTTTAGCCAAAAGAAAAAGAAAAAAAAAGCACTATCTTGAAGCTTTAAGAGAATTGTTCTAAATTTTAATTCCAATAACCACAGCTGTACTGCAAGGTCATTCTCTACTGATAACCTCCAAAATCTAGTTAAGTGATCAATATTCATTTCTTTTTTTCACAATTCTTTTCTAGTCAATTCTCTTTTAATATTCTTTTTTGCTATTGCTATTTTATTTTAACCAGGGTTAATATTGGCAGCATTGAATGAAGGTTTAACACTTGCTTCCTAGCTTCCTTATTTTTTTCTTATTAAGTAGACTATAGTTTATGACCCCCAAACTCCACATTTTAGAAAAGAGCTGGTTATGGTCTCTGAGTGTCATTTTACCATTTCTTCATTCTTAATCATTCTTTTGCTTTCAGATCTGGAACAACCCCTTATTTGGAATGTCTCCAGACAAAGAGGAAACAAAGCCCCAATAATAAAGATAAACAGGCACAGTGTTTTCTGTGACGGTCTGTCTGGCTCAAATGAAGATTGATCACCTCTAAGTTAACAGGGGTGGAGGGGTGTGCCAGGTTCTTGGAAAATCTGCTTGGAAAACAAGTTTATTCTCTTTAGTTTCTGCAGATCTCCTTAAGATATCTGGCTAATAATAAATTTCTTAATTGCCAACCTCAATTTCACATTTAAGTTAGTTATTTCCTAAAACAATACTATACTTGGGATGAAGCAAACCAGTCATGTTGGACTACAAAGCTGTGACCATTTCAAACAAGTGATTTTGCAGGTTGTTTAATATGTCTATGATAAGGCACCTAAAAAGTAATTAGACACCTGTAAAGTGGAACTTAGCTTTTCAAAAATAACACATATGCACCCATGAACCATGAATAAGTTAAAGTAAACATGTTAAATTTTATAAAAATACCAAATTTAAAAACTGCCAAAAACAGAACAAAGGCAATCTATTGACCCAAATCTAATAGGGTTGCAAATCTCAACCTGTCTTTAAAAAGCACAAACTACAATGATGCATAATAATTTTCCTCATGGAATTTACATCAGTAACAACTTAGGACTACATATTCTTTCATCCTATGAGTTACAATTGGTCATTCCCACCTCTCCAAAGTTACATACACTTCAGCTTACATACATCCTTGGAAGCCACTTTATTCAGAGCCAGATTTAACTACAGCAGAATTATATTTACAGAAAATGAAAAATTACATGCACACTTGCTAAAACTAGAACAGACCAGAGCTAGGGGACAATACCCAGGCATGTCAATGCAATTTAAAATGCCAATGAAATCACACCACAATCCCGCCAGGGTATACTATGGGCTGTCATACTGAAATGCGAAGCCAGCTCGGAGTACAGCAACTCCCGTCCTCGGGCCCTATTTAATTAGGAGGCTTCAGCAGAGCAAAGTCTGCCAAGCTCTCGCTTTCAGACTCTGAAGGGACCCAGCGAGCAAGAAGAGCGCCTGACCCATTCCAAGGAAGCCTGCCCAGAAATGGAGTCAGCGTCCACCCGGGTCGGTTCCGCCCGCCTTGCGCATAAGCCTGCCTGGCTCAGTTATGCCCACCCAGGCCTGGGAAACCGACGAATGAATCTTTTCTCAACTTCCCTTCACCATCAAGGAGCTTAGGGAGGCAAGAGAGAAGCATCTCTGGGCTGCAAAAACAACGTCTTTTGCAGCCAAGTAGACTAGGAGGATGTGAGAGAGGGGAAGAGAGGGAGGAAGGCAGGGAGGGAGGGAGGGAGGGAGAGAGAATGAATCTCTTGAAACCTAAGCTCCTTCAGAATCCGTGTGACCTGGTCTTGAAAGCGAGATCAGGGCACCTCATGGCACTTTTGCCAGGAATCAGTGTTTCCCCTGCAGTCATTATTTGATTTATTGCTTTCTCGCTTGTTCTTTCTCATAAAGTTATTTCTCGCTCATTTTAGCCAGACTTTTTTCTTTAATGACGGGAAAGGTTCCGTTTTAGTCTTTCCCCCAAGGACTGGTTCTCTTTTCGATGGATCCACAAAACCATCCCGTTAATATGTCTTAACATACCCGCAGTTCTAAGTGCAAGGATGCGAAGGTCCCTACACCTGCACTTTCTGCCCACCCCAGACCCCCTCGGACCCCCAGCTTCCTTAGCGGCCTGGAATGGTTCCCTGTGCTCCTCTGGGTGGAGGTCGGTCGTCCCAGAGGTCTGGGGCAGTAGGAAGCGAGCGGCTGAAGAGACGCACTAAGGTAGGCTGGTCTGTGCTGGAAACACGTTTCCCCCGCGGGGCTAAAGGGGTCGGCGGCTGGGGTTCTGGACTTACCGGAGCAGTTCCAGCCGGTGGGCGTTTGGCAGTCACTTAAGGAGGTAGGGAAAGCCGCGAGCTTCACCGGGCGGGCTACGATGAGTAGCATCACCGGCAGCAGCAGCAGCCAGCAAAAGCCCTCGCAAAGTGTCCAGCTGCTGCACTGCCGCGGGGACTCCCACAGCACCATGACTAGTTCGCGCAACTCTGCAGTAGCAAACGGCTTCCGAAGAACACGCGATCGCGGGGGCCGGGCAGCGGGCTACTGAGCATCCCGCGGACGGCGGCAGCACGGGCGGCGGCGGTGGCAGTGGCACCCGACAGGGAAGCAGCGGCCAAACCCGCGCATGGTCTCCAGAGTTTCAGAAACATCCAGCGACCCGGCCCAGCCCCGGGAGCGAGAGGGTCGTCTGCTGAGAAGCTGCGCCGGAGGCTCGGGGGGCTGCTGCCATAAGGAGGGGGCTCTGGGCAGCCAGGGGATCACGAGGAGACCGGAGTCCAGAGGGCAGAGGAGAGGAGTCCAAGGAGGTTGGGTGGAAGGAGAGTCAAAGCGCCCCACAGCCGAGCAGCCGCCTCTCGCGCTCTGCCGCCCGCGTCCCTCTGGCGTTTGGGAAGCAGCAGGTCCTTAGCCCGCCCGAGATCACGTGGGAAGAGGCAATCGGGCGCTGATTGGCGGAGCGGGATGCAGGTCCCGGGAGGGAGGGGTCGGCGAGGAGGTGCAAGGAGGAGGCGACGACGGATGCCACAGATGGGCTCGCTCGCCAGGCGCTGGCCCGAGTGGGGCTGCGCGGGGATGGCTCAGGGGAGAAGCGCGGGCTTCAGAGTGGGCGACTCCCACACCTTTATATACCACCTGCTCTTTCACTCTCCGCCCCAGGACGCCCCCTACCGAGCTCTGGGTCCGGTCTAGGGCCCCCAATCTAGCTCCCCTCTTCAGTGCGTGACCCCGGGCCTCGAGTACCCGCCGCGGCTGGGTGGCGTCTCTCCGAGCTGGAGCTGGGGAGGGCGGAGGTGGAGGAGAAGCGGTAGCAGCAGGGCTGAGAGGGGAGAGCGGGCCCAGAGAGGGTGTCCTGCTGGAGCCCGGGGCTCCTGCGTGGTGGACACGCCGCCTGTAACCGGATTCAAGCTGGGAATATCGCGGCCAGAGCCCAGGGACCTTTCTTGAGGGAGGTGCAGAGACCGGGAGAGGGTGAGAGGCGGTGGTGTGAGAAGAGCTCTGGCCGGCCTGGAAGCAGCAGCGGTTCCCACAGGAGCCTGCGACCCTGAGGCTGCTCGCCAAGCTGACTCAGCCAGCCTTCCAGACTCTCTACTCTTCCTTCCTCCCTCTCTCTCTCTCTCTGCTCCCCTCCCTGGCCCCCTGCAGCTCCGACCCTGCCCGAGGAGCCGAAGGTTTGGAGCCTTCTCCTCATCACACGCTCCTCTCCAGCCGGGAACCTATTAGTGTGGCTGCCTGGGAGGTGCGGGTAAATGTGTTTCGGAGGTCAGATTTGGTCCGGACAAGTGGTCCGAGAGAGGCAAGGAGGGCTCCTCGGCATCAGCAACGGGTGGGTAGCACGCGCAGCCTCCAGGAAGCGGCTTCCGAGAAGAGCGGCTCACTTTGGCGGAGCGGGTGGCGGCCCTGGGCGCTTTAGCGGATCTCTCTGCCAGATCTCCGGTGGCCTGGGGAGGCGAGAAGGTCTAACTCCACAGGAGTGTGTCGCTCAGTGCCCTTCGTTCTTTCGCTCCTGCCGGCGCTGAGCAAAGGCGTAGCGGGACCCGCCTTCCGCCTGCTGCATTCTTCACGCAGTTAGACAGTCTTTAGCCTAATGGTATTTTAGTCGCTAGTAACTGGTCCAAGAGCTTCCCGGGACACGGATGGAGAGGAGCATCTTTCTGTAGTGACCCGGGTCGTTATTGCGGTCACAGTGTTTTGGATGACCTACAAGGAAGAATTTTCTTTTCTGTGTGATTGCTCAGTGATTCAAGATTTTTTCCCCCCTTTTTTCCGCCAGCACCCTCCTTCTAAATCTCTTTCCCTCCTTCTTCCCTTTCTCTCCTCTGCTTCCTCCCTCCTTCCCTCCTACCTCCCTTCCTTCCTTCTATCCTTCCTTCCTCTCTCTCTCTCCCTCTTTCTCCTTCCTTCCTTCCTTCCTTCTTCCTAACTCCCTCTCTTCCTCTTTTTCTCTCTCCCCCTCTCTTTTCCTTCCTTCCTCCCTCCCTCGCTTTCTTCCATCCTTCCTTCCATTTTCTTTTCTTCTTTTCTTTCTTTTCTTTTCTGTCCTTTTCTTTCTTTCTCTATTTCAAGAGCCCTCATCTATGTTTCTCTCTTTTTAAATCTCATCTTTCCTTCTTTCCTTCTGGTCCCCCAAATTTAGAAAAGCATATTTGATGGCACCTCACAGGCAATTAGCGTCCATCCCCAATCACTTAAAAGAGGCACCAGTACACTTTGAAATCAGGGACTATCTATCTTTCGCAGGCACCGCCAGAAAAACAAATTGTGCCCAAGCTATCCTTTTAAGTACTTTAACCTCCAACCTCCTCCCACTTCCTTGCTTTTTAACTTCTCCTTTGAGAGATGTGATCGTGCAGCACCTCAGAGCCTCAAAGAAATCTCATCTTTTTTCCTGTGTGAAACCCACCCCTTTATCTTACATCTCTGCCTCCGCCCCAAGATCACCCCCCAACCCCCGCCCACTTCCAAAGATTCTGAACCTCAGTGTCTCTCACTCCTTGCAATTAAGCAGCAGATCCCAGCATTCTAGTCGGTGGCATCTCGCTCCTCACCGACACAGACTCCATTAAAACAGATCAATTAGACCAGACGTTGGAGGCATCAGAAAATCGGCTTCTAGACAGCGCAGCTAAATTCTTTAAGGAAACTGAATGCCTGTTAGATAGAGCTGCCAGCCGATATTGCAAAAACAAGGAATCAGAGATGTCTTTCGCTGCACCCCTTCAGCAGAAGCGGCAACATAAATATACGCTTAATGTAGATCTAGATTTAACAACTCCCAGTTCAGAGTGAGAACATGTCATTTTCCATAGCAAGGCTGCTGTGGTAACTAATCAGGCTTATGAAAATAAGTCATGCTTAAAACTAAAGGCAAAGTCCTTAAAAGTGTTTATCAGTAATTATGATAATGAGACAGGACCTGCTAGGATTTCAACACTTGGCTGTATAAGTAGAATTGTACAGAACCTCTTAGCAGAGTAAAACTGTTATTGAATTCTCTGCTAAGTAAATTTTTGGCATGCTTTCTAATAATATGTACCCTTCCTAAGACATTTTTCCCAAAGTAACTTAAAACTCCAAAGGAGTTAATTACTGGTTGTGACTGGTTAACAAATGCAGTTACTTCCACAGAGGTTCTTTAAATTATTAAACAGTTTCAAGCAAAGCCTTTCCAATAGGAATGCTGTGATTTTGTTCAGCTTGCTTTGTACTCAGTGTTACAGTGCCACCAAGAAACAAATTCTGAAACTGGCAAGCACCACCAAGTGGCAGAAGAACATCACTCACTGAACAGAGCATAGTAACATTGAACATGTAAATAAAAATATATACATTATTTAACTTCATTATTAGTACCACAGAAATAGACGGGAATTACATTTTATGACAATGAAGATTAGATTAGTGATTGGATGAGTGCTTGAACTTTTCCCCCAACAGGGTCAAATCAGTTTACTTATTAGAACTGAATTTAAACTAGGTCTACAAATTGCACTTTGCATTGTGCATCATATGAATACTAGTTATACAATCCAATTGTGTCATGCCTTTGCAAAATGTCTTATTTTAAAAGAGTACAGAATATTTGCTTTCAATATTCCTGAGTTAAAACAGTTTATTTGTGGCATACACATTCTAGAATCGACTCAGAGGGTGTAGAGTTAAGTTGTCATATTTTTAGTAGAAACAGCACAGAAATTCTTTCCATAGAACTTTTTAAAAACATTTTTTCCCTCTATGTGGAAAAGGCATTGTTAAGAATTGTGAGATTACTCAGAGCTTTAATAGGGGTGCAGTTGGGGGAAGGGAGAAAAATTATTCTAGAACAAGAATAATTTAAGATAAATAAATGAATAAATTAAATTATTCTAGAACAAGAATAATTTAAGATAAATAAATGAACCTGGAGAAAATAAGACACTGCCGATCAGAACTCTATCCCCTTTCTGATCTCTACTACTTTCTGATATTTCAATAATGGTAAGCTATATAGTATGCTTCTTAAGTGTCAGACATTGTGTCATGCAGGGTGAAACACATTCTTAATCCCCACAAAACCCTTATGAAACAAGGAATTCCTTATCTCCATTTTATAGAAAAGACATATAGCTTTTAAAGCATCAAGGGACTTGCCCAATGTGACAAACCTAGTCGGTGGCACAGCTGGGACTCAGCACAGTTTTGTCTGATGTCAGAGCCCAAAACCTACATCATCATTTTCTGCTGTATGACTACCTCTTAGCCTCTGAGAAAGGAAACTAACTGGAATATATTCATTCTGTCCATGCAGCCTCTTTGCCTTTTCTACAGAGTACAGGTAAGACCTAAATATTAAATCTCAACCATAAGCAATGAGATCCAGTGGTTTCCATACTTGCAATTCTTATGAATTAATTCATATGAATTACTTAAGAAGTTTTTAAAAGATAGACAAATTCTAGGTCTCAATAGCAGGGATGCTACTTCAGAAAGTTTGGGGTTGGACCATGGAATCTGTATTTTAATATTCACCCTTGTTTGAGAAATAAGGTACTACCCCTACCTGTATGACAAACGAAAGGATACCTGGATTCTTGCCCAGTTGTCACAGGACTTTTGGCAGAGAAGTTTCTAAGACAAGATAAGGGTTTATACTAAAAAAAAAAAACAACAACAGTGGGGGGTGCCTGGCTGGCTCAGTCAGTAGAGCGTGCGACTCTTAATCTCCAGGTCATGAGTTCACGTGTTTGAGCACCACATTGGATGTACAGATTACTTAAAAAAATTTTTAAAAAAGATAAAGGCTTATACTCAATGTGTAGATGACTGTTATACACATCCATCTCTATATCTACCGTTAAATATTGAATTTCTCTAGCATATCTTTACCAAATATGTAGTAAGCTTCTATTATGTCTGACTTACTAGCTTTGTGACCATGGACAATCTCCTCATTTGTAAAATATAGGTAATAGTAATATCTACCTCCAAGGGTTCTTCTGAAGATTAAGGGAAATAGATGATTTAATGATAATGGCCTTGGGGTGAATACCTATGAATGAATGAATACCTAAATATGTATGCATGTAGCCAGCTATATATTTATATATAATAATCATATAAATATATAATAAAAAATAATTGAATATATACAAGTTATGTGTGTGTGACATTAAAGTGCACAATATGTTGATTACTAATAATGAAATACAGTATCATATTCATATCTAATCCAAACCTTAATATTTTATCTCTTAATTTCTAGCCTACATAAGATATATAGACTCAAATCATTATTTAATCAGCTTTCATTTATAATTTATTAATATAAAAATACATATTATATTATCAGTAACAAATATATTGGTATATCAAGTGTTTAATTTGTAGATCAAATGTTATTGATAATGTTTCCAAGAAGTCATCTTCATTTCAGGCTGATTTTTTTTTTTAGCTGAGAGTAAATTTGCTATTTTTCCACCCTTCGCTGTAATTATTTAATGATGCATAAATAACGAGCCATGATTTAAAGAAGTCATTTTATAATGTAAGTTCCTATGCCTTATTGATTCCTGTGCCTTTAATTATTTCTGATAGTTTATGTGTAGATTTATAATTTCAGTTCTAGAGACATAGTTTATTTCCTCTTAAGGCAGTGGGCCCCAATCATGACTGTACATTGTAATCACCTGGGGGATTAAAAAATACTGATGCGGAGTCTTTACTCCAAGGCTTTGAATCTCTGGAGGTGAGGTGGAGGCACTGGATTTTTAAAAGTTTCATGATGACTGTAATGCATAGCTTTGGTTGCTAGCCACTGCCATGGGGAAAGTAAATGAGTGGGTATTTCCTCATTATCCAAAGATCCAAGTTTCAGCAAGTAAAAGGGTAATTATTTTTGACTTAAAACTTTAAAATAAACATTTCACAAAAATGTTGTCTGATGAAGATATTTAACCAAAGCAATATGCAGCAGTTAATGTTTGCCACAAGCTTGCCAATAGTTTGAAAAAAAAAAAACACTATTGTTTTTGAAAAGCTACATATAAAAAACAGTGGGCATTTCAATACAATTTGGTGTCTTTTTATTTACAAATTCAGACAGTTCCCAATCGCTATTTAATTTAATCATAGCCTTATCTTAGAGCTTAAGACTTTTCTTCAAATCATTATGAAACTTTATTTTTTTGCAGTTAGAA